TAAAAAGTTGTGCAGAAAATTCCAAGTCTCAATTGAAAAGGGGTATAAAGGAAAAAGGAATTGGATTGACAAAAGGAAGGAGGCTTTTCCTATAATCATGCATTCAATTAGTTGGTCTTGGGAATATGCCCAAAGCAAAGGAATGCAAAACGCGGCAGAGCTGATCGAGCGTTCTCACAAGTCCGATCCAATACTTCTCCAACGCCCGTTTCGATTTCTTCAAATCCATCAAACGGACCTTGAATTAATTGGGCCTTAAAATGAAAGGTCTTTGCACTACACAGCTTCAGGTTGTTGTCGGGATGGAAGTTATCGGAGTATTTCTTGCCGCTGTCGCAGGGGTAGTTCAATACTATAAGGTACATTCACCATGTTTATTGCCCACATCTTTTTTCATGTACACAGTTTATATTTTGTGTGCGAATAAATTAAATAAAACATTTGTAAATTCATCCCATTGACAACTCAAACACCATGTGTTCACATTCGTTCGCTCACATTCAATACGCAGACATTTTAATGTCACGCTCCAATCAGAGTAGTGTATTTTTACACAAATTAGTTATTCATACATAAATAAGAAATCTATGTAATTAGATGAGTCAAATAAGTTTCTTTTTGGGTTGGAATGTTGGATGAGAATCCAATTTTGGAAAAAGCAAAGTGGAGGGCGGATATTCAAGAGTAATCTCTTACTCCGTGTAATCTTTTGCTCCTCAACTTCTTTTTCTTGTTATTTCATCCTTTCATCATGTATTGATTTATGTTAGCTGACCTCAGGATTTTTTGGGACTAAGGCTTGAATGTTGTTGTTGTTATATTATTTCATAAACAAAAATCGTCAATGTGAATTTTGTGGGATTGCATACAAGGGTTTTGGTAGTTTTTAGCAGTTTTAGCAGAATAATCTCCAATAGTATAGTATCAAGTATTGTCTATTCTTTAAAAGTATTGGCAATACTTTAGTATGTTACACTTTTTCGTGTTGGCAAAAAATTTACGTATTTGCCATCATATTTATTTGAAGTTGTCATATTTTGAAAATGTGTAACAGACAAACGCTATAGTATGTCATACTGAGTTAAAAGTGGTGTTCTCACGGTTCTCATTTCATTGTGTGTTCGTGTTTTTGTGTATGCGCGCGCGTGTATTTTGGTTCAAATGAGAACGCCCCTTGCTGTGAGAAGTGAAAACAAATCCTAGCCTTCCAAAATATCCAAAATAAGTGATGATATGCGATAAAATAAATGGTAGTAGAGGACATTTACATCTGCTTCTTTGTTGGTAGTTTAATTGAGCGATGTTTTATTCCATTAATCATTAATGGGTTGCACATATTTAAGAGTTTGTATAAGGGTTTTTTTACGGGAATATTACTAAAATAAAACTTATTTACATAAATATGACTATTCATTACTACAACGTAGTGCTGTGGTAACTAAAGTTCAAAACTTGAACATGAATTACTATGATTTTATTACTACTCTCTAATAATGAATCCTATTTTTATAAACCATCTTTATTTTGGTCATGTTTATGTAATTATTTCTTTGTATAATTATGTTTGGTAGTTTTTTGTAACTATCATTTAATTGAATACATGTCTTCCAATTTGGGAAAGGACAAGTAAATTCCTTATCCTCTAAAATATTATATTGAAATTTATTTTTCACTTCAATTCTCCTCTTCATTTATAGAATATTTGTATCATTGGAAGGTAAATATCCCTAGAATACCGATCTAAAAAAACGCTCCACCTTATTCAGATGCACATTTAAAGTTGTTTCTTTCACTTTCATACTTTATGTCTTAACATTTGCATATTTTGCTCCTTCATATGTAATTATGCATCCGTACAATTCACTATTGCACTACTGTGTCAATTAAATGCAATATTCGAGTTGTGTGTTAGATACTGATTCTTGTTCATGATATATTTATTGTAATTCTCTGTGTCCATATTATGTCATGGATACGAGTTCTCTAACGTATATATGTATTGTGCTATTGATAATGGTTGATGTGTACTCTATAATAGTTTAAATTATATGAAATCCTTATGTGTTCGATATTAGTTTTTAATGGAAAAAGGGGCAAATAAGCCCACGTACTAACCAAAAAGGTCAAATAAGCCCTTATATGGGAGGCTATGTCCGGCCGTCGCCATTTGGGGTGGTTCCCTGTGAAATCTTTTGATGAATTTTTTTGAGCATCTTATTCATTAAGTCTAGTTTACTCATAAAGCGCAGTTATCTTCAAGAATTCATTTGAATGTCTTCTCGATTGAATTGTTGGCTGAAATTTGGTATGAGTAAATTAGACTTAATGAATAAGATGCTCAAAAAATTTCATCAAAAAATTTCACCGGGAACCACCCCAAATGGCGACGGCCGGACATAGCTTCCCATGTAAGGGCTTATTTGACCTTTTTTTGGTTAGTATGTGGGCTTATTTGACCTTTTTTTGGTTAGTATGTGGGCTTATTTGCCCCTTTTCTCGTTTTTAATTGTTGTGTGTTAGATACTGTTTTTTGTGATTGAGATACTTGCTATATTGATTTGTATAGAAATTGTTTGTGAGATATTCCTTTTTGCATGCATCAGATATTGGTTCTTGTGCGCTAGATATAGATTCTTGTGCGTGGGATAGCTGAAGATACATGCTTATTGTGGTATATTGTACACATATAATACTATTTAAGTGTATATATATACATGCAATATCGGTGTCATATGAAAGATAAAAAATTATTTAATTTGATATTTTTTTTTATAAAATTAGATTATAATTTTAAAAGTTAAATCAATTTTAAACTAAAAGCATTTTTATATGATTTAATATTTTATTTTTACCTACTTTTTTGAAAAGTGAATGTCTACAACCGTTACACTATTAATTAAATTTTATAGAATTACTCTTATAGTCTTTATTAGTTACACGTCCCTCCCTTTCCTTTTGTATGAGATTGATTACATGTGACGATGTCATGTTTATATTGTCAGTCAATTACTTAATGACCATTCATTCAATGAGATGCGGGGTTAGGATGTGTTCTTGATCATCAAATTTGAGATTTGTGCATTTATGAAACAGAAATATGTGCACTCTCATGTAAAGCAATGTCTATCATATGAAGTATGAACCATGAACCCCATATATGTGTGTGTGTGACGAAAGAACTCAAACATGCTTTGTTGTTAATATGTTTCATGTACGTGCATGTTAATAGGCACGGTCTCTGCAGAAGGACATGTCTGAATGTGACGAAGCTTTTAGCCATGCCGTTTTGCAATGTGTCATTGCATTAGGAGTGGTTTTACTTGTGGCTGTTGATCGGCTTAAACTTGCAAGTGTACAAGTGCCGATGTAGTAATAAAATCCGGTAAAAATACCGAGTCGAACACGAGGAAACGTTGTTTATATGATTCAAAAATTGAGAATATAATTTGTAAAAGACTTGGTAAAAGAGTAAAGATTTTTGGTTTTTCAAGTGGTAATAAAAGCAACCAAGGGTTCGGGATTACTCCTAAACGACTCCTAGCGATTAATGTATATTCTTTCACCAATTCTTATGAGTGGAATGTCGCTAAAGTATTCTAACTCCTGTTACGGCAGCGAGATTGTGATTAATTCTACGTGTGAATCCCGTCACGGTTCACATTCATCTAAAATTAACCCCATTGAAGATTAGGACATTATTACAACCACCATATTCAATTGAGGTATATTTCTATCCACAATTAGAATATGTCTAGCCTTTAAGTGCACGGTTTATAACTCAACGTTAATTGCTCAAATAAACCCAACGATATAATCATACGTTGTACACCGTAGTCATACACATTAAAATATAAAGGAGAGATCATAATAATTTGGTTGAGAACATACATCAAACACCTAGAGTGCGTAAAGTTTCATCCCTAACCTTGGCTATGGAAAATTAGCTAGAGCAACTCATAATGAAATTACAAGTATTGAATTGATGAAATACAATGAAATACATAAGAAGATAATACCACAACTCCAAAGCTATGGTGGATAATGGGATCCCCAAGTGTAGAACTTCTCCCAAGACCAAGGGGTTGATCTTGGAGTGCTAAAATGGAAGTAAAGTGTATGGAATATGGAATAATCACTTGAGAGGGCTTCCATATGCTTAAATATTGGGTCTTCAACGGCCATTTTTGGACAAGGAAGCAAGCTCCTTAATGGGGTTTGGAGCTTCTCTCGAATGATTGTGATGACCGTTGCCTGTTTTAATCAGTGCCAGACGAAACCCGGGCGACATTCGCAAAAGCCGGGCGGCTTTTGCGCGTTTAAAATAGTCTGCCTTCGCTCCAGGGCCCGAAAACCGGCCGCCATTTACAAAAGCCGGGCGGCTTTTGTAATTAAATTCTGAACAATTCCTTCGGCGACCAAAAGTCGGCCGGTGTTCACAAAAGCCGGGCGGCTTTCGTCCTTTCTTGCTCCGGATCAGATTTTCCAGCTTTGGATGCGAAAATAAGCTTGGGGACCAAAGGCCGGCCGCCTTTGGCATAAACCGGGCGGCTTTCGTCTGTCTTGGGCGTTTTTGTGGTCTTTATTTGTTCCTCGGGATGCGTTTGGTTGACCTTTTTCCGTCGGTTTCTTCGTGTGTATTCTACCATCCTTGCATTTGATCCATTTGTTGATTTAAAGAACTTCTAGCAAAACGAGGCATATGTGTGAAGATTTAATTCTTTTAAGTATAAAAGCGTTTATAAATGATTGTGTAAAACACGTTAATAAAACGCTTATCAAATACCCCCACACTTGAGCTTTGCTTGTCCTCAAGCAAATTTCCAAACTTTCTATGAAAATATTAAGGCAAAACGTTAAGAAAAGTTTCTTTTGAAGAAAAGGGTTTGAAGGACAAGGGTTTTGCTAAAATATTTTTCAAAAAATATGGACCAAAAATGAACAATTTTTTCCAAAAAAACTTGCACAATTTTCAAGTATAAAGTCACCCCCCCACACTTATTCCACATTGTCCCAATGTGAAGCACAAGAGTAATTAAATGCAAAGCAAGAAAATAAGCAATCAAACAACACATAATAGGCACAAAAGTAGCACAAGGAGTTTAAAGAAAAACAAAGAAAAGGTGGTTCAAGTTTAGTATTTTTAGTACACTTCCCTTTTCATAACCTACTCATCCCCTTCATTTCCATCTCCTTGGGGAGGGAAATAAAAGTGCGGGTCATAAGGTGGCGGTGGTGGAATGCTGAAGTGCCGCCCTAACTCTTGGCAGTAGTAGTTCATGTTCCAAAGATGACTCCCCATGCCTTCAATAGCCCGCCGTTGGTCCCGCAAATCCCGTCGATGAACCGCAAGCTCCGTATGAATTTGACCAAATTGTTCGGTCAAATAGTCCATGTCGTAATGAGTTCCGGCTTGAGGTACGTGAGCCGCCTCCTCATGGTGCTCCTCGGGCTCTCCACCTTGGGCTTCTCCTCCTTCCATCATCTCTTCTTCATTTTCTTCGGGCACGACTCTATGGAATCTCTCCACGCACCTCCATGGTCCTCCGTGCGGCGGTTGGAAATAGCGAAGGTGTATCATGACACTATCATCAAGCACGGCATGTGTCTCCCGTTCTTCTTCCCCTCTAAAGCTAACACCAAAATGCTCAAAAATGTTAGAAAGTAGAATAGGGAAAATGAAGGCCTTATCTTGGTTGTTGCTCAAAGCCGCGCTCCACAATTGTTTGATGATGATGCTTGATAGAGGAATCCCCTCACAACGTCCAAGCCCGGCAAGCATCCTATACGCGAAGTAGAGGTCGGCGTTTCGAATTTTGTTGTAGCCACTTGCTCTCGGCATGACGTTGAATGAGTAGAGGTACATCAAAAGCCGGGCCCGGATGTGTGGTTGACCAAGGTTCTTGGTCATAAGCTCGTGTCCTTGCAAGCCGAAATATTGCATCGCATCCAAGGGGTTGTAGCCAACGTCGCTATTCATTGCTCCGGCTTGGGAAGGGGCGAAAGGGATGCCGTGGTTGGCGATGCGAAACTGAGATCTCAATAGGTCATTTGTGATAGTGATTTTTACCCCTTTGACCCGGCTCTCAATCATCTTTCGGGGGCTATTTCCTTCGATATTTGCGAAAAATTCCTTGACGAGCTCCGGGTAGAAGGTGCCTTCAAGATGTAGCAACTGCTCCCAATCGATATTAGCGAAGGCCTCGGTGAGCCGGTACTCGTGGTCAATAGGTTGTGACACCGTCTTCTCAACAACGAAATCGTTGTCCCTAGATTCCAAGTACCGTTCATAGCACTTGGTGTTGACAAACCGGCTAGAAGGCAAGATGGTGGAGGAGGCCGCAGGTGCCTTGTTGTTCCTTGCCCGCTTGGGATTGCTCGGCCCAGCATCGGTGCTAACGGACTTCCCCTTTGGAGCCATTTGAACCTACAAACTCAAACAATTCTAGTCAATTTTCTTAAAAATTTGACAAAGTTTTCCCTAAAAAATTGACTTTAATCACAATTTAACATGACAACATAATCACAACTTTACTCAACAACAATTAATCACAAGAATTTAATTGAAAATCCCCAAATTTGGACAAGAATTTCGAACCCTAAACCCCCAATTTTGACCAAATAGCAAAAATTTCAAATTGTTGAAAATAACTACTTGAAAAGAGGTTGAAATGGTTCATACAAGCAATATAGGCAACAAGAACAAGATATCATGCAATGAATTAGGCCTAAAAGCTATCAATTTGCATAAACCCTAAAATTCGAAATTTGGGAAGAACAACCAATTCTATCGATTAAATGAAGAAAAAGCTATGAAATTGAGTTTAAGAAGTGAAGGAGATGGAGAAATACCTGTTTTGAGCTTGAAAGAGGAGAAGAAACGTGAAGAAAGGGGGTTGTCGTTCGAGCTCTCTCGTTCGCCGGGCGTCTTTTGGGCGTTGTGTGCGTGTGTTTGTGTTTAAACAGAACAGGTAATAAAACACTCGTCCCCGAAAGCCGGGCGACATATGCTAAAGCCGGGCGGCTTTCGGTTAAACAGTTTGTTCCCAGAACCCGTAAGCCGGGCGGCTTACTTGAAAGTCGGGCGACTTTCGATTTAATTAAACTGGAATTACCTTCGGCGCCCAAAAGCCGGGCGACATCCACGAAAACTGGGCGGGTTTCGTGTGCGAGAAAAATACCTGGGAAGCAGACCTGAAAGTCGGGCGGGTTTCGGGAAAAAACCGGGCGGTTTTCGATCTGAATAAATGGAATTAACCTACGGCGACCGAATGCCAGGCGGCTTTCGCGAAAGCCGGGCGGGTTTCGATGCCTTTGCTAATTCCGCCCACTTTGTTCAAAATTTGCCTTGAAACTTCACATTTCTTTGCTTTGCTTCTCCCCCTACACTTGAATTGCATCGTCCACAAGCAATAAAAGTATAAAAGCATAATGAAAGACAAACATGTAAATAAAAAAGGATATGAAATTGGGTTGCCTCCCAATAAGCGCCTTCTTTAACGTCGTTGGCCGGACGTTCTTCGTGATCATTTCTTGAATGGATAGGAAGTTGTATAGTACTCTTTGTGCAGCTTCAAATGATGGCGATTGACGGCAAAAGGTTTATTCTCCCCTTGTTGGATCACCGTCTCTCCAAATGGGTGAACCTCGATGATGGTGAATGGTTCCGACCAATGAGGTTCCAAGTTTTCGGGCAATAATGGGGACTTTGAGTCATAAAGAAGAACTTTATGCCCAACTTGAAGTTCTATTTCACCTTTCTTCTTGTCATGCCGTGTCTCAAATTTCTCCTTGTAGATAGGAGGGTCTTCATGTGATTCATGCTTCGGAGTACTTTGCGGTGTAGTATCAAATGTGGAGTTGACACTAAAACATATGGAGTTAATAGGTGGATTCTTCAATGATTCCCAAACGTGAAACTCTTGTTCTTCTTCTCCAATACGGAATTTTACTATTCCGTTCTTAACATCAATAAGAGCACCCGCCGTGGCTAAAAAGGACCTTCCAAGAATAACCGGAATCTCCATTTCATCCATTTCTAGAATAAGAAAGTCAACGGGGAGATAGAATTTGCCAACCTTTACAAGAACATCTTCCACCACTCCGATAGGATAACGGATTGTTCTATCCGCCAATTGAAGAGCTATGGTTGTAGGTGTAGGCTCCCCCACACTTAGCTTCTTGAATAGAGAGAGTGGCATTAGGTTGATGCTAGCTCCAAGATCACAAAGGGATCTTACTTCTCCTAGACTCCCAATAGAACAAGGAATGGTGAAACTCCCGGGATCCTTCATCTTTGGCGGTAGCTTATTTTGGAGAATGGCACTACATTCCTCCGTGAGCGGTATGGTTGCAAAATCAGCCAACTTCTTCTTGTTGTTGAGGATATTTTTCAGGAATTTTGCATATGAGGGTATCTCCGCTATAGCCTCGATGAAAGGGATGTTGATGCTCAACTTGGTGAAGATGTCTAGCTAGGAACTTCTTGAATTGCTTTTTGTCATCTTTCTTCTTCAACTTTTGAGGGTAAGGGATAGGGGGAACATATGTTGCCATGGGTGGTGGTGATGAGACATGCTCCTCTAGCCCTTCATCTCCTTGCTTCTCCATTGGTGCATCTTGAGTAACCGGCCCCTTCGTTTCCTTACCACTTCTCAAAGTGATAGCCATAGCCGTTTCTCTTGGGTTGACCTCCGTTGTTGTGGGAAATCTTCCATGCTCTCTAGTGGTTCTCTCTTGTGCAAGTTGGCCAATTTGGACTTCTAAGTTGTGAATAGAGGACTTGGTATATTGCTCAAGACTGTCCATGCGTTGATTGAGCTTCCTATTTTGATCCTCGAAACGTGAATCAAGTTTTGTGAATTGTGTGTGAAGATTCTTGATAGATGCCTCCACTCTACAATGGTTCTCCTCACTTTGGGCTTGCATAGCGGCTACATTTTTTGTGAGAAGCTTCATCGTATCATCTCCTCCATGGTAGGTTCTTTGGATTGGCCAAATGTGGGAACTCCGGGTTGATGGCTTGAAGAATTACCTTGCGGTCTATAATTGTTTCCTTGATTATACCTTTGTTGATTGTTGGAGAAGTTATTTCCTCCTTGGTTTCCTCGTTGCCCATAAGAGTTCATGTAACTAACATCCTCAAGATGTTGAGATGAGTTACTTTCCACATTGGAGACACTCTCCACATTTGCCGCTTGTTTCACACCTCCAATAACGGCTTGCAAAGCCGTGTGAATTGATGCTTGCACATTTTGTTGCATTTTGGTTTGAAATTCTTCAAACCTCTTGTCAAGTTCATGAGTGATGGAAATTTCATTCACTCCCGCCACCTTGATGTCTCCTCCTTGTAGTTGAGGATTTGAAGCGATCGATTCAAGAATTCTCAATGCTTCCGTCTCGGTTTTGTTTCCAATGTACCCATCCGCTCGGTTGTCTACAATAGCTTGACAAGATGGGTTCAAGCCATTGTAAAAAGTGTCAATTTGGAGGTCAAGAGGGATGCGGTGATGGGGGCATTCCTTCAATAAAGACTTGAAACGTCTCCATGCGTCTTGAAAAAGTTCTCCAACTTGTTGTTTGAAGTTGAAGATTCGTTGTCGTAGCTCTTGCGTCATTGTGGGAGTGTAGTACTTGGAGATGAAAACATTATATATTTCATCCCAAGTAGCATAGGATGCCGGTGTTTGCTCTAAAAACCACCCTCTTGCCGCTCCCTTCAAGGTGTAAGGGAAGCACTTGAGCCTTAGATCACCTTCATTTAGGCCATTCCTAGGAACACCTTGAATGAACCCATAAAATTCGGTAATGAAATTTAATGGATTCTCCCCCGGTTGTCCATAGAAGTGCGGCATAGCATTGAAGTAGCTATTCCGCAACTCATAGTCTCGTGCCGCCTCGCTAAGCACGATGCAAGAAGGAGTAGTTGCAATGACGGGTCTCTTCTGTTCATTGAGTGTGGGAAGCATTGTTGTAGCTCTAGCTTCCTTCTTCTTCCGATTCCTTCTACAAGCTCTCTCAATCTCAAGATTGATAGGTTCAAGGTTTGTAGAGCCTTGACTTCTCAATAGCATGCACTAAGAGCTTGTCTACACAACAAAATTCAAAACAATACCACGTGAAACGTAAAGGGAAAAATCAGGAATTTTTGTTGAATCAAATAAACAAGACCGTTTCCCCGGCAATGGCGCCAAAAACTTGATCGGCTTAAACTTGCAAGTGTACAAGTGCCGATGTAGTAATAAAATCCGGTAAAAATACCGAGTCGAACACGAGGAAACGTTGTTTATATGATTCAAAAATTGAGAATATAATTTGTAAAAGACTTGGTAAAAGAGTAAAGATTTTTGGTTTTTCAAGTGGTAATAAAAGCAACCAAGGGTTCGGGATTACTCCTAAACGACTCCTAGCGATTAATGTATATTCTTTCACCAATTCTTATGAGTGGAATGTCGCTAAAGTATTCTAACTCCTGTTACGGCAGCGAGATTGTGATTAATTCTACGTGTGAATCCCGTCACGGTTCACATTCATCTAAAATTAACCCCATTGAAGATTAGGACATTATTACAACCACCATATTCAATTGAGGTATATTTCTATCCACAATTAGAATATGTCTAGCCTTTAAGTGCACGGTTTATAACTCAACGTTAATTGCTCAAATAAACCCAACGATATAATCATACGTTGTACACCGTAGTCATACACATTAAAATATAAAGGAGAGATCATAATAATTTGGTTGAGAACATACATCAAACACCTAGAGTGCGTAAAGTTTCATCCCTAACCTTGGCTATGGAAAATTAGCTAGAGCAACTCATAATGAAATTACAAGTATTGAATTGATGAAATACAATGAAATACATAAGAAGATAATACCACAACTCCAAAGCTATGGTGGATAATGGGATCCCCAAGTGTAGAACTTCTCCCAAGACCAAGGGGTTGATCTTGGAGTGTTAAAATGGAAGTAAAGTGTATGGAATATGGAATAATCACTTGAGAGGGCTTCCATATGCTTAAATATTGGGTCTTCAACGGCCATTTTTGGACAAGGAAGCAAGCTCCTTAATGGGGTTTGGAGCTTCTCTCGAATGATTGTGATGACCGTTGCCTGTTTTAATCAGTGCCAGACGAAACCCGGGCGACATTCGCAAAAGCCGGGCGGCTTTTGCGCGTTTAAAATAGTCTGCCTTCGCTCCAGGGCCCGAAAACCGGCCGCCATTTACAAAAGCCGGGCGGCTTTTGTAATTAAATTCTGAACAATTCCTTCGGCGACCAAAAGTCGGCCGGTGTTCACAAAAGCCGGGCGGCTTTCGTCCTTTCTTGCTCCGGATCAGATTTTCCAGCTTTGGATGCGAAAATAAGCTTGGGGACCAAAGGCCGGCCGCCTTTGGCATAAACCGGGCGGCTTTCGTCTGTCTTGGGCGTTTTTGTGGTCTTTATTTGTTCCTCGGGATGCGTTTGGTTGACCTTTTTCCGTCGGTTTCTTCGTGTGTATTCTACCATCCTTGCATTTGATCCATTTGTTGATTTAAAGAACTTCTAGCAAAACGAGGCATATATGTGAAGATTTAATTCTTTTAAGTATAAAAGCGTTTATAAATGATTGTGTAAAACACGTTAATAAAACGCTTATCAGCTGTTATTTCAAACGGAACCCATCTGGTAAATCAGAAGATAAACACAAGCAGATGGAAGAGAGGGGTAATTGCGGACTGTTTTCTACAATGGTATAGCAACGTTCCTTTTTTCTTCAAAACAAACATTGCAATAGTTTTTCAAAACTTGAATTAAAATAGCTTTTGTAGCTAGATAGTATAGGTGACAAATTATTTTTTTAGAGAGAAGGGAGAACTGGGCAGACAAAGTGATATGTATAAATGATAATGCAACCCTTTACATGGCTTGGGCCCGGGAGGCCGAAT